GGCCAAAACACATGGTTGCCCCCCCCCACCTCGAAAAGTGGGTGGGCACTTGCCCACCTGGCCCCCCCTGTTCCTACGCCTATGTAAAAGCTCATTTCAAAGGTGGACTATTTCCTTTAATGTTTACAGCCCCTGAACAATAACCATTGCAAAGGTCACCGGGGTCCATTGAAACGGCCTGTGGCCCTGTTTCAACTGACCCTCAGAGAAGCGTTTCAATTGACCCCATCCGCTCCCGCCATCTCGCACGCGCCGTAAAGCACATGTCAAACGAGCTGGAGGGACGGCATCATGCTGAATGAAGGGCCAAATAAGGTGTTATTCCGGAGCCAGGAGTTCTTCTTTCAGCAAACAAAGGTATATGAGATATCACAAAATATTCATAAAAACGATTTCTTCCAAACGCCCCTCAAAAACACAAAAACAAGTGTCAAATCAAAATTACCGTCCGTTTGCCGCCCAAACGCCGTTGACAAAGAAAGTGGTCGAGCGCGGATGCGCAGTGGTGTCGGCAACGCCATATGTTGCATACTGTTGAAAATAAAGCCATGTTTCATCTGACCCCGTGTTTCAACTGGCCCCGCTCTCCCCTAATGGGTACGTAGTCTGGTATCAGACGACAGATAGGCATTGTCATTCTCTGGATGCAATCCGCTGGCCCTTACGTTAGAAAAGATAACTCCCAGAAGCGGCAAATGTGGGATATGCCCCCTCGGGGGGGGGGGGGGCAACAGACCCCTTCGGCAGGAGTGATGAGGGCGTCTGGAAAATAATAGATTATTTTTAGAATTCATGGTTTGCACGGATTGATAAGGTGGTTGATGTGAAGCATTGCTTGTTTGTTTACTGAGGGTAGGCCTTTTGTCTAATCAGACCATTTTAGAGCTAGAAGCATTATTGGAATTAGGGAAAACATTGGTCTGAGCGGGCATGGTGAATCGTCGAGGCTGAGCCCATCCATCCAGGCCACCCATGAACCAGCCCCCCCCCCTTCCCAAGCACTTTCTGTATCCGGCTACAGACCTGTGCTCCTATGGGAGCTGCTCGAATGCGATATACTTAGTTGCCCGTCCAGCTCGAAACAAAGGTTGAGGCATGGAGAAGGATTCTACTATCCTAAAGATGGAAAGGACGGATTGACGAAACACTTGGAAAGTGTGAACTGCGTCGAATCACCAGTCTGCCCTGGCATTGTCTCGAGAAAGAGGTTACAAGTGTGAAGGTCGCTGAGAGTGGGACAATGAAAATTTTGGATTAGGTGTAAAAGTGATAAAATGGGTGCTGGGAGACACTTTAAGCCGAGTTGTTATGACGCTCTACGCCTTACGCAGGTAATTTGTGAAAGCCGGATAGGTTCATTTTTTGATAAGAGTGTGCACGACTACCCTGCATTTGAATTTGTCTTTACTCCTAGGCGGGTGGTTAACAATGGTATTGCGGATAGGCGCTTAGGCGAGGCACTGGTTGACTCCCAATCCTCGGTTAAATTGTTTTCAGTTTGGGGTTCTCGTATGAGAGGGTAATGGGCTAATGGCTCTGTCTAACTTCCAAAAAGAAAGCACCGCCCAGGGTACGTGCCGACCACTAGGTACTTTAAATGGACAATTGTTGTTGATAATGACCGTTTGTTGCCATCTCCCCGTTCGCGAACCCTTAAGTTATGCTCCCTCATTGAGGCTCTTAGGCGGGTAATAAAGCATGAGGGATGTGGGTTCCGCATTCTCAAGCAATATTTTTCAACGGTTGGTGAAATATATATTAAAACAAACTAGCATATACGGCGGTTTAGTGTACTTTATGTCCGTCTGATGTGCCCGTCGTTGCGTTTTCGCAACGCTGATGGCGCCCGGTGTGCCCTTCGTTGCGATTTCGCAACGCACGTTTTTTACGTTTTTCTCGAAAAACTTTTGCTGCCGGCAAAAATTATTTTCGATTCCATGCAAGGCCCTGGTAGAAGCGTAACATATCTTGATTTCATCGATTTTCATGATGGTCAATATTCCTGGGCATAAATGGGTTAAGCTGATTTGACTTTTTGCCATTTGACTCTTATCTTTTTGACTTTTTGTCTTTTGACTTTTCGACACTTGACTTTTTGTCTTTTGCCTTTTTGTCATGTAGGTGATCGCCGAGTGGATCCCCCGCCGCCGGGTGGATCCGCCGCTGTCCGGCAGTACCCAACTCCCAAGTGAGAACCAATTGAGTTCCAGAAGCGGCCCAAATGGTTCCGAATGTTCACATGGGCGGCGATGCATTTGGTACCATAAGAGATCGATTTGGAACTGTAGTTGAAACTGCCCATTGTGTTCAACATTATTTGGAACTGATTTGGTAGGTACCTATACTAGGTATATCTATTGGCTATTGGTTACTCCAAATTGAGATAAGCACTCTCTGAGATGAGTGCATTCACCGTGTTTGCGAACAGTTCATGAACGTTTGCAAACTGTAGCCACTCTTATAAAGAAAAGAACGGAGGGACGCTCCGTCATTTCTGAGATTAGACGGAATTTGGTTATCATAAAAGGACGAAGACGGAAGACGGAACCCGTTCAAAGAACGAAGCCAGATTGACGCTACCCCCACCCAAAAGGACGCGTTTCCGTATCATAAAGAGACAAAGACGTCTCTGGCGACTTAAGACTTAACGTTGTTCGTGAAAAATAACGCATCAGAAATAGCGCTGCTCTTCAGCAGCGCTTTTTATGGCATTGGTACGACGTTTAGCTGTTTGCGAAAGAAACTTGTGCGAAATGTGTTTCAGGCTGCATGTTCTGTTCGCTTTTTCACTCAAATCACTCAAAATTGGCCGATGGCGTCATTTGTTCGCAAACACAATTGTTCGTGAATAGTTCGACTATGTTTGTTTATTTGGAAAAATAAACAAACACCAACCCCTGTATGGTGTTTTACTAGGGTCCTCGGCATGATTGAGGATATTGTCGGCAAAGAGTGCGTTTATGTTTGATGATTATCGGGTTTGCCTCGGCGTGACATCTGTTCACTCGCTAAACCCGACGGGATGACATCAGACAGGCATCGGCAGGCACATACAAGGCTGACATCGGTACGACTACTACGACATCAAGCCGCTGTAGACAGGCGGCGGAGGAATCGCGGATGGATGTCGGGCGGTCGTCGGCAAACCACCGGTAATCACAACGGGTGACTGTAGACGGACACAGGGTTAATGGCGGGGCTGCGTCGGGCCGGTGTCGGCACACGTCCAGCATTTATCGACCCGAGCTCTGAGTAACGGCTGGTGAACGTCGATGAATGAGGCTTGATGTCGGGCCCACATCGGCCCATTGTCGACTCGGAGGGCTCGCTGGTCTTCCATGCGGAGATACCGACGTTGGCACAACGTACCCGGCTGTATGTAGGTACAGCGGGGTGGTCTAACGCTAGGCGGACACCCGTAGATCCCCCTCATTCGAGGACATTGCCCATAGGCGGCGGGACGGGGAGGGCACCGGGGCACAGTGCCCCCTTTGATTTTGGCATTTTAACATTAGCCCTATGGGTGTTGCATGGAAAGAATGGGACCAAAAGTCGGCGGTGCCCCCCCCCCTTTATTGAAGGTGTTCCGCCGCTACTGTTCGAGGATCGCCGATAGCCATCAGAGTCTTAGCCGAGGTCGGCTGGCTGTCGGGCCTGTCGGGCCGACAGCGGCATGTTCATAAGTTGGTGATACTATATATTCAGCATTTTACTGACAGATTCTGGATCTAGACCTGAACACTCTGTAGAACTGGTGTCACAAATAGACAAATTGAGCAAGTTTTATTTATTCATTTGCTTATTTATATACGGATACCTCATCATTGATAAAATAGGGAGCATCATAGGCGCGGAAGCCGGGGGGCAGTGGGGGCAGCTTGCCCCCAAACTCTGGGGCCGTGGGGGCGATGCCCCCACAGCTTTGAGACGGAATACCTACCACACTTTTTTGCAAATGTTGTCTTTTTTGTTGAAAAAGCCAAGGGATGAAAAATAAGTGGCCTAAAACCGGTGAGAAAACTAGATTTGGGGGTACCCTAGGTTCATCTCTATTATGGTGTGCCCCCCAGGCACTGGAAATGCAGTGTAATTTAGCCTTTAGCTTAACAGTGTAAAACCCGCAGTATATGCGCAGTATATATGCGTTGTGTTTTGTATTACGTGCGCTACTTTCACCTAAGTGAAAAACTGAGACTTTTGTTAGATTTCTCTAGCTTGAGATTTAAATCTGCTTCACTTCACCTGGCGTTGCTGTGAGAAAAATAATTGGCGAAATTACAATTCGTTATTATCATTGTATGCATAGCTCTTTGACAGTAGAGTTGCAAAATTTCCCTACCGCACTACCGGCATGCCGGTAATTTTTCACTACCGCAGGTTTTTTCGTGGTATCTGACATGTCTTGCCGGTAGCATGCCGGTATTTTTGATTTTGCACACAAAAAAATTATCAGCATATGATTCAAACTTTGGACACTAAGAGGCTATTGAGTTGTAATAACAGCAATCTTAGCCACTGCAAAATACATTTTGTGGTAAAAGTTCCATATGCCGTATTAAAATTACCGCCAAATTACCGGTATGCCGGTAATTTGGCGGTTTTTTTTGCTTGGGGCGTGGTAGCATGCCGGTATCCCAGAAAATTTTTGTGGGGCGGGGCGGTGCCGGTAGCAGCCCATTGGGAAAACTTTGCAACTCTATTTGACAGCCCTGCGTAAAACCAGTGTGATAAGTTCCCGCTGACTGCGGGGTAATGCCGAAACTGGGTTAGGAAATACAGAAAATTAGGCATTGTCTTTTTGTTTCGTTCAAGATTGATCTATAGGATTACGAGTATATGAATATGCATTAAAACCGCGTTAAAACTGATTTCACTTTGAGTTCCTGATAGACTGACTGACTTGTATTTGGGGCTGGAAATTTGGTGTTATTTTTATATCTGGCTAAACATAACGCACAAATTACATCACTAACAGCATGAGGCAAGATTTACATCTAGGGCGAGCAAAATGTCGCTAGATGCAGAGACGTTTCTCTTGACTTCTAATTAGTAGCTTGAGATTTCATTTTGTACTGATGTGAGGTAGCCTTTAACTTGACCCAAATTTGTGCATTTCGATGTCGTGGCGGCTGGCTGTCAGTAACATCAGTCGCATCCGGTGCCGGCATCATTTTTTTCGCGTTATCACGCATACAATACTTTCGATTTATACGCAAAATGTTTAATACTTTTCACATCATCATCTTTCTGGTAAGTCGGATATAATTTTTATCTGTAAAACTTCAAAGCATTCGATGATGATGAAGGTCCTGGTACTTGATTGAATAATTTTCTTAATTATTTTTTTTAACGCTCATTCGAATGCCGCTTACCGTGTGTCACTACGTGGCCCAGGAGCTGAGTTAGACGGGGAGGGGGGTGTTGAGACATCCCCTGCCTGGCGAGGTTGGCGCCTCGGCGCGGGTTAAAGGTTAGGTTACGTTAAATGCAGGCCAGCTGGTAGCATGTCTGTTTCCTAACTTTGTGCCCAGTGGCAGGGAGTTAGTAGCATGTAAACTCACAAGTTGTTTGACCCACCCACCTTTCTATTACTAGCCAGGTAGAATCTGGCAAGAAAAGATCATGCTAAGCCTGCTAAAAGGTCATGCTTTAGACCTGGGAGGATCATGCCACCATCTACATTTGGTAACATAAATGTTTGATATAGCTTATCACCAGGTAACCTGATGGTCCGGTAGTTGGTTGGTGTCATTTGCAACAAGCACTGCTTAGGGGGCATCCGAGCCCAAAGCCACCGATTTGACCATATGTACATTTTTTCTAAAGGCTATGATATTTTTCAAATTTAATCACAGCCATGGATTAGGTATTCCTGGATTGGACACTCCGCCGATTTTCCGACCACCCGGCGGCGGCGGCGGATTTCCCGACGGCGAGGGCGCTGGCGTTATTTTAGCATTGCGGGCTATGGGCGGAGCGTGTCTTTTTGTATACTTTTGTCGTTTATTACTTACCTGTAACCGATTTTGATGAAAATTTTTGTGAACCTGGTAGAACAGGTGTTGAGGAATGTCATGGAAATATTCTTTTCCCAGTTTTGATATAAGAAGTTGCTTAAATTCTGCTGACAAGTGAGGGTTCGTGATTACAGCCGAAGAGCCAATGTTAGAATAAAGTGAAGTTTTATGCGATAACATGAAAATAAGTTGATATTTGTATTAAATCATCAATAGGAACTTGTTTGACTGCCGAGGAACGATGATATTTGATGATAAATTGCATCGGCAAGTCAAGAATACCGGCTCAGTTTATGGGCATCAGGTAATGATTCCGTATGTGATAGTGACTAAATGGAGCCATAATAATTATAAGAAAGAACTTAAAATATGTGTGAAGTCTCTTAAATCGTGTCTTATGAGCTAAAGTTCGCTAATTTCACCATCCATTACCGCGTTTTTAGCACGCACGCCAATGCGGCGGCCGCCGGCGCACTCGCCGCCGATGTTTCGGAGCTCCGCCACCAGGGCGGCCGCTTGGTCGCCGGCGCTAGTGTTGGGGAATAGGGAGTGTCCTATCCAGGAATACTTCATCCATGTCACAGCCATGCACCAGCATCCAGCAGTGCGAGCATTTTGCACCCTTGCAGATAATTAGTCACTTCTGAATTCTGACAACAAAAAGTCCTCTGGATTAGGAGCAGCTGGATGCTCTCCAAAGGACTGCTTTTGTTACTAGACTTCTAAACTTTTCTGGACTTTTTTTAATGAGATAAGACCATATGGCAAGTTTTTGGGAAATTGCATCACTGAGAGGTCACCAATGTGTGTGAAAAAGAACATTGACAAGAGTGGCTCCCTTGGAATACATATTCTGGTGACTAATTCATGTAAAGTAGGTAGCCAACACGTACTGATGACACTGAACTGATTAATTAGCTACTGTTTTAATTTTTAAAAGTGTTAAATGTCATGTAAAATGCTGGCAGATGCCACCCTGCTATAAATTGTTTTCCTTCTTTGCAGCCCCTGCTGGGACTGTTGAAATTTGCAGCTGGTGGTGCCCTTCAGCTGACTGCAAACAACTTTGACAAAGTTGTAGGTAAGTCTGATCACTGTGCACGTCTTCTCACTATTTTTTAGTTGGGTGATATACCTATGGTAGGTGCATTGAATAGGTATATAACTTCCACCTATGTTTTTTGCAGCTCAGGAAATTTTTTTATCCACTCAGGTTCTTTTCGAATTACTTGTAAATTTAGCTCATTGTTTGAATGGGCAAATTGACAGCACCCAACTTATGCTAAGCAGAACCATAGTTGTGTAGGTCCGATCCCTGCCTGATCGGCAATCCGACTATTCAAGAATATTTAGATGCTAGGTCTAGAGTGTCCATCAACTCTGGGCACAGTTCATCCTTCTCAGCAGACTTCAACTGGCTGCGGCTGCTCCACCAACCCCATACTATTCTCATCAGCACTCCTCGATCTTTAATGGCCGAGCGAGTCGAACTTTGGCCCTCACCACTGGCAGTCCAAGTCTCTACCAGCTGAGCTACTGGACTTGCATACATTCACACATACATGCATAGTTACATTGGGTCTGTTCCAGTCGCACTTCCTAACACCTCTAAACACCTCCAAGAGCAAGATAGAGGAGGTTGGAGCAGGGCCCTCTTGGCTTTGTAGGGGCTAGAGCTGCCACTGGAGCAGGGAAGCAATCTTGGAGGAGTTAAGAGGTGTTAGGAAGTGCGACTGGAACAGACCCATCGATACATGCAGGATGGATAGGATATTGACTGAGCTCCATTGAGCGTAAGTCTACAGCTGGCCACTGACGAGTGCTGCTGGCGTCCAGGGTCCACAGATCTGGTGTTGATCAACTTCTACGCCGACTGGTGCCGCTTCAGCAACATGCTGGAGCCCATCTGGGACGAGGGCGCCGACCTGGTGGCCAAGAAACTCGACTCCAAACGCGTGCTCATGGCCAAGGTGGACTGTGACAAGGAAGGTAAGCAGAAACTAGTGCTCGTGCATTTACCTGTCTTGCAAGATACCATGCCATATTTTTTGGCGAATTGAATGTCCGGAATATAAATATATTGGTATCGTGCTAAGGAGCTGTTATGTCTGATCTGGTGTTGTTAGCCACAAAAATGTGCATGGATCCGAGTGATAGATCTATGATCTCAGTGGATCTCACCTTAAATGATAAGCTAGGATTATATGATCCAGCGGGATCCTACGTGCAAAATACATATCCTGGATCTATGATCTCATTGGATCTGACGATAAATCAAGAAGAGGGATCTATGATTCGAGTGGACCCCACCATATGCAACCTGTGAAACCATGTTGCTATGTGATTCCATGTAAATATCTGCCACAAAACCATGAATTGTTATGTGCAATCACATAATATCTCTGAACAGAACCATTACGATTATGGTTACAAGTGTTCTCTGAATACTCCTATGCTGACAAAAATTTAGTAAGGATATGTGATCTTACCGGATATCTAGGCAAAAACATAGGCTCAGATCTATGATCCCGATGGATGTCAGGACAAATGAGAGTTGGATCTATGATCCCATCGGATCAAGGATCAAGATCCATGGGGTCAGCTCCGAGATCTATTTTCTCGGATCCGTGCACATGTCTGGCTAGCCATTGTATGAAAAAGGTGGCCGACAAATTATGATGCTATCCCTGTTTGTGTCTGACAACTGTCAAGTTCACTTCAAAAGAAATGACGCTCTTATTCTTATTCATGATTCATTCTTATTTTTATTCTTATTGCAAGTCAGTCTGTACCATAATGTATTTGTTATGTTTCATCGGTACGTTGTCGCTCGTGCCGCGGAAACTGTCGTGTACCTCTTAGTAGCTGCTCTCTTGCTGCGGCAAAAAGTCGCCACGATGCCGACTGCCAATGCCAACCGGTCCCGTTCGGTGCACCGGCGCGGGGGCCAGCGTGGCATCTCCCCTGTCCCGTCCAACCGGCGGAACCGGTCCGACACCAGCGAATCCGCCTGACCCGGCGCGGCTCTCACTGACCGATCCTGCGGGATGTGACCCCCCCATCCCCCCGCCTCAGTCGGTCGGTCATCCCCCCCCCCCCATTGGGTCTGTCAACCTATCCTTCCGGAGTGTCTGGCTTCGTCAAACCCACAAGCTGGGGCTGTCACAAACCCACAAGCTGGGGCTGTCACTTCTCCCCAGAACGATTGTCGACTACTATCAGTATGTGGGATGTGGATGCCCAATTATTGTCCATGTTTTTGTCTTGTTTTAATTCGCCTTGGCAATCAAAATCGACAAGGATGAGATTCGAACTCACGCGGGGAGACCCCATTGGATTAGCAGTCCAACGCCTTAACCACTCGGCCACCTCGTCACATACCAGGCTAGCGACGGGAATCACGCCGCCGGCAGGCGTTACTCCTTTCTAGAAATTTTCGCGTCACGCCCGGGTATTGTCCGCCGGTTCACGGTCACGATGGGGCTCAGCTGGTCTTGAGACCCCCGGTGAAAAAAGTGGGGGCGTTTAACGCCCCCCAGCAACTCGCGGGTTAACCCGCGCCCCGTTGTGGGGGGGGGGGCGGAACGGCCCCCTTTCCTTTTCATACGGTATAGCAGACATAGGCGGCGGAACGGGGGGGGGGCACCGGGGCACCGTGCCCCCTTGAATTCTGCAAGGGGGGCACCAATAGCAAGGTGCCCCCCTTAAATTTGATGTATTAGTACCAGGGGCGGATTCGGGAAAACTCCAAGGGAGGGTCATGAATCGAAGTGATGCTCCTACCTATACCCAAAGTTAAAACCTCAACGGATTTCGGCCACTTAATTTTGGTGGTGCCCTATTTTCAGTTTTTTTTCTTTCTTTATGTTTGGTTAGTCATGTGATGACTGGTGCCCCTGCTAGGCCGCTGGTGCCCCTAAGACTGTGGTACCTACCTACCCTGCCCCTGACAAGCCTACGGTGAGCCCTGACATGATTTAGGTGCCCATGGGCCCTAACAGGCCCGTGGTGCCCCTGACAGGCCTGTGGTGTCCCTGGGCCTTGGTAGGTCTGTGGTGCCCCTGGCGAGTCTGTGGTGCCCCTGTTAGAAGGCAGGTGCCCTTGACAGGTTTGTGGTGCCCCTGACAATCCTTTTTTTATAAATTTAGTCCGAATGGGTGGATTTGAGGAATCAGAGCCCGCACTAAGCATAGCTTGTTGTGCTGACCCTGACCCCACCACCCGATCGCGCAATTCCAGTTGTAAGGCAGATTTTGTCCGAACGTTCAACGTGCCCGAACGACTGGACACGGTCCCCTCCGCTCACTCACGTTACCTGGCTTCTGTGCGGCCACTGCCACAGACACGCACGCCATTACACGTAGGAGCTAAATGTGGCCGCCCGCACCGGGGCTTGAACCGGGCTCTCATTTCCGGCTAAGCGTCGAACTCCGGCGCTTTTATCCACTCGGCCACGGAGAAGACTCCCTATAATGCCAACGACAGGCTTGTGCTGCCCTGGCGAGGCCGGTGATTCCCCTGCGAAGCCGATAGTGCCCCTGGCAGGCCTCTGGTGCCCCTGGCAGGTCTGTGGTGCCCCTGGAAGACCTGTAGTGCTTTTGCTAGGCCGCTGGTGCTCCTGAGTCCTGACAGGCCTGTGGTGCCACTGACTGGCCCGTGGTGCCCCTGCTAGGGCTGTGGTACCCCTGGCGGGCCTGTGGTGCCCCTGTCGGCTGTCAGGCCTGTGGTGCTCCTGGCAGGCATGTGGTGACCCCAGGCCCTAAGTCATGACCTATGTGACCTCCCCCTGGGATTCGCCACTGATTAGTACTGCGATGGCTTCTTGGGAATTTGATACATGTAGGATAAATGGAATTTATCAAACGACAATAAGGAAGAGACAAACACATAGGTACTTGAGGATCAGCTTAAAGTTAACCATACATACGGGAGTGAACTGCCATTTTCGTTTAGTAAAAAAAAAAATCATCGTGTCAGGGCTGTGACGAAAAATAAGTGGCCTAAATCCGATGAGAAAACAGGATTTGGGGGTACCTACCCTAGGTTTGGCTCCTTGAGCTGGTGCCCCCCCCCCTTGTCTCAAATCGTTCCGCCGCCTATGATAGCAGATATAGCCACGAAACTTCCACGACCCCTCTGGGCCTCAATCAGGGGCGTAGCCAGGATTTCCTCCAGGAGGGGGCCAAACTTAGTTACAGGGGCCCAAGGTAAACCCCCTCAAAATAAAAAAGTCATCGGATTTCATCCACTCTTTTTTGGAGGGGGCCCAAATAAATAAAAACAAATATTTAAAAAATGAAAAGAATTGTTAGAACTGAGGGGCAAGCAGTCCATGGGTCCCCGCTAGATAGGCCCACGAATAGCTTCATAGAGTCACTCAGCCGGTTCTGAAGGCGGTCTTGAGGGCCCCGTAGGTCATTGAGGGTCCTTCAGACCGCCAAAGGCCCCTACAGCCCATGAGAGCCTCGTAAGCCCTGATAACTTGACGAGGGCACTCTAAGAAACAGAAAAACCCTCTGAATACACGACAGGGCCCCCTGAGCGCATGGAGGGGCCCCTGATCGCTTCACGGGGCCCTCTAAGCCACAGAAAGGCTCTCTGAGTACACGACAGGGCCCTCTAAGTGCATGAAGAGGCCCCTGAGCGCGCGTGACGGGTCCTCTGATCTACAGGAAAACTCTCTGAGCATGTTAAGGACCCCAAGGGGCCCCTGAACGCCTGACAGGGCCATGCGCGTAGCCAGGATTTTCCTCAGGGAGCCAATCAGACCGAAAGGGGCCCATGTGAGCGAAGGGGCCCAACATTTTCCTAATCTCATGACGTAGTTTTTTGCTTAACTACCTTCAAATTACGAAGGGCCCCTGCGAACCCAATGGAGAGGGCCCCGAGGGGCCCAGTGGCAAAGCCTCAGGCCCGAAGGGCCCTTTTATAACCAATGAAGAGGGCCCTAGCGGCAAGGTCTCAGGCCCGAAAGGCCCCCGCGAACCCAGTGGAGTGCCCCGAGGGGCCCTTACGCTACTTTTATTGTGCCCCTTACCGTACTTATGACACCACGATGGGGGCCCTTTGGGATCCAGGGGGGGGGGGCATGGCCCCTATGCCCCCCTTGGCTACGCCCCTGGCCTCAATTTTACACCTTGAAACCAAAATTTGTTCCAGAGCCAGTGATAGGTTGGCCGCAAATGACATCAGAGTGACGTCATGTTCTGCCATTTTCGACCCAAAAAAGGTTTTGCGGGACGAGCTGTCACGCCTACAGTTTTAGAGATACAGAAAAAAAGATATTAGGATAAAAAAGTGTATATCAAAGCTACAAAACTGCTATCCCGGGTTTTCAAAAATTTTGGATTTTGACCCCCAAAACTAAAGAAGGTGTTTTTAATTCAATACCCCAAACCAGGGCTGAGGAGTCGATGGATTTTAGGGTGGCTCCGACTCCGACTCCGACTCCGGCTTCAAAAATCGACTCCGCTCCGACTCCCGACTCCGGGCGGCTGTATAAAAATTCATATCATGATATTGAAGTTCATTATGGAGATGTTTTTATCTTGCCCGAAACGATCCTTTATGCTTTCCAATGCTTTGCGTTGCAAATCTATATTATGAATTATATGCATTAAAAATAACATGCAGAATTAAAAAGAAGGTTCTGGGGCATTCACCCACCGTCTTCTGCTTCTTTCCCTGAAAACGTTCGTCCAAAACAGCAAAATGGATTTTTTCGACATAATCTTATTTCGAGTGTAGTATCGTCAATCAAACAGGTGCGGTGCATGACGTTGAGCCATGCAGCGATAACTCCGACTCCGGAGTCGGAGTCAGCTGGGGGGATCCAGAGCGTCGTAAGCCTCGTCGTAGCTGCGACGTGTCGCAAGTTGTGTAGTAAGTCGTTTTTGAAGGGATCAATCGATGAGTAGCGTTACTTAACCCGCGCCCCGCTGGGCTATTCAGCCATACGCGCCCTGCTGGGGGGGGGGCATATTCTGCCC